ATTATTATTATTATTATTATTATTATTATTATTATTATTAATATTAATATTAATATTAATATTATTATAGAAAATAAAGCTTGAAATATGATATTTTTCTGAAACTAACTCCTTTGCATTTGTTTATTTGTGTAGGAAATAGTGTTGAAGTGGCCCGACGATTACATTCTTTTTGGCGTAACAGTTCAGTTTGGTCAGAGCTTAATACAGAAATAGAAATAAAGAATTGTAAAGAAGATTTAGAACCACATAGCATTCTTGTTCTACTTCTTGTCCCTCAGGCATTAAACCTGTTTGTCTGTTGTGGTGTTATTCTAGTTTAAAAAGAATTTTACAACCCTTTTCTGGCAGTAATGTGGCAACTATATTTTCACCATGCTGCCCTTTATGAAATGAGCTGATTATTATTTTAAGGATTGATTAGTGTTTTTCTCTAAAGCACATGAAAGAAATCATGGTATTGAGATATTTTAAAAATTACCCTTTTGTGATATATATATTGATACTAAAACAAACACTTATTCCTACATTATTTTTCAGACCAATTAAAAAGTCCCTAAATAGTTAAGGAATGTAATCCTATGCAATTAGTTTAAGGACTTTTGTATCTCAAAGTTCATTTTCTGATTTTATTTACCAATTTGTAAACATATTTAAATAGGTTTGATATTCTCTCATATGGAAAGTGTTTTAACATCAAGACACAGAAGAGCTAGTAAAATGTATAGTGTATGCTATATTCTTAAGAAATTGGATATTCTGTGGGCACAAGTAGTGTGCCTCTATCCACAACAATGATTTTTATAAAATAAATTTTAAAAAATAATAAAAAGAAAAGAAACATGATGTTGCAGATATTGATGGTCAAAAAATGTTTTGTTAGTTGTTAATTTGTTAATTGTTCCTCCTGTAATGATTTACCATTTCCTATTGTTATATTCTGATTGATGCATTATTCTTGTAATCAAAATGTGATTTTTTTCCTAACATTTTGCTAAAAGTATAAAAGCACAGTCACCATGCCTTGCAATTTTTAAGTGTAATGCGAATGAGAATCTTGAAAAAAATACAAAATTTTTTCTTGTTTACTATCTCATATTGTATATACTGTTTAATATTGTTTGGCTACATATATCCCTTTTATAGTGTTCAAGAGCTGTAATTGTAAAGAAAACAATACAAAACAAATGTTGTTTGTCAATTAAATCAAATTAAAAAATTGTTTATAACAGTGCCTGTTTTTTCTTGAAATGATTTTATATTATTAACTGTTTCAAAGTAAAGTTTTTTGAGGGATACATATAATGTTATTTTCATAAATGTTTAGTTGTTTGTAACTTTCTTGAATAATCTCTTCATGCTCAAATTCTCTTAGAAAAAAGAAATCATCTTTTCTATACATCTTCACAAAATGTTCATCGCCCTCGTGCTAATTTTTGAAATGTTTGAAAATATAGGTTCGAAAGTAACAGCTAATTTCGGCTAAAATTTCGTATACGGTACAACCTAAGCAAGTCGTTTAAACCGGCACTTCGCGCCGCTCCGGCGAAGGGGAAATATAACGGGAGGTTTGCAGACGTGACTGCAGAGTAGGACACCCACACAAAGACACTGACCAAGCAGGACACAGTCATTATCATAGGAGGGCAGAATGACATTAATTTAGGCGGAAACTTTACACCTGAACAACATGTAAACAAATTACAATGTGCCGTCCAAAACACTAACATTGTATTCTTGACTCTGCCCTTCTGATACAACACACCAACATTATGCAGCGAGATTAAGCACGCAAACCAACAATTAATACTTCAACTGAGTAACAAATCTTTTTGAAATGAATGTCAAACTTCACCTCCTGGTCTCCTCATGAACCTTGCTGGAAAACAGTCGGTAACAAGCTTGCACAACACATCATCAATTCCAGTCATACACAGTCTCCTGCCAACAATCCATCCCTTTCACCCTTCTTACTACCTCCACCCCCACCCTTATTTCGAACCCACTTACCTCCTCTTCTGATCCTTCTCCCGTTTCTCCCACGATCACGATGCACTAATTCTTACCATTATAAGAAATGCGAAAACTGACACAATAAATACACAATACGACGCGATAAATACTTTTTTTTTCAATTCTTTCATTTCACTTAAAAACTTGATTTCCTCTTCAAAAGAGGACATTAAATATTTTACGGAAAAGCAATTCTTGGATAACACAAGGGATTAGGACATCACGTAAAAACAAACGAATTCTTTCTTTCATTTCTAAGCATCAATATTGTATCTCAAGGTTTCCTCTACTTTAAAAAACTACACGATTCGTATTGTACGTTTCTTCATGAATTTTTTTTTTCCGCCGACTTGGGATCAAAGTTTATCCCAAGACCTTGGCAACCCTACCAAAACTCAAAATGTCTGAATGTTATTTGGGACCCATTGGTCAAGGTGTTTTAAACAAGATACCCTTTGGCAAACATAAGCAAACATTCTTTGGCTTACGCCTACGTCATCTTTTGCTATACTGGTTTCGACTTCAATTCGTCTTATCAGCTTGAGAAGTGTTGAGATCAGCAACATGGCTGACCGCATACCCAAGGATAGTAGTGGGGAGATTCTGGAAACTTTAGGATCAAACTTTTTACTCCACGAAGCAAACGCCTTTGCCTTTTGGCTCACGCCTATTAGCTTTTGGCTGCAACACTCGACGTAGTAATCATATTAATTAGGTGACAGTATCAACAACTCACTACAAAAAATGATCATATAATACATGTACATTATTTTACTACATCTTGCCAGATAACATTAAACGATTAAATTCGATACAAATGTTTTAAGTCCCAAGTAAAATCTTTTCTGCTGCACAACTTTCTATACAATTAGAGAGTATACCGATCATCCAAAAGGAAAGTAATATTAATTTTAACAATGACATTTAATGTATTTTATACCATTTAGATTGTATAATTGTAAAGAAGCTGTAACAAGTATTGTACTTCAGCTTCTGGGTCAATGACCCCATCTCGATCAGGTTTTCGTCCAGTTTCCCTGATCCTGGAGCAAATGCTGAGATGGCCCCTTGTTTTGCTTCTGGACATGAGCAAATGTAACTTCAAATCAACTTCTCCCCATAGCACGTCACGCAGTTTTCAACTGTTTTTGACGTAAATAAATAAATAATTTACAACTACATTTTTATTAATTACTTGGCTGTCTGAGAGATGCCATGACCTAGGCACTGGTGCCAACATTTCGGCCGCCATTCTCCAACCTTCCTCATGTTGAAATGCATTTCCACAGTTGTTACCATACATTTCTATTGTTACTACCTTACTTTCATCTCAGTTGTAACTAGGAAAAATGAGAAAATGTTTCAGTGTAAATGCTAGAAATTAAGCTTTTGGATGTCTTAATGAGTTATTTTCTTTCAAATACTAACTTCATTAGTAAATAATTTAAAATCTAAAAACCAATACTGTGTTTTTATAATTCAAGTATGTTCAGGTATTCATATATGTTCAGTTGACAAGGTGTGATCAAGGACTTGCCGTAATTGACCTAACAATACCTGATTTGCCTAGTCCATTACAATATCGTACATTTAATTATTCTAATTCAAATACCTGAGACTCTGTTCATGTAGAATATTACCACCTTCTTAGCACTGAATGCTACTTTTGAATGAGTAATACTGCAAGATACAATCAAATATATTAGGAATGAAATTGTTTATTCTATCATTCAGTCAGATAGCTGTCCTCTACCTCATAAACTAGGTACCCCTTTTGCCATCGCATAAATTAAATGATATATTAACGCCCATGATGTACGAATTCTGTTAAAGTATTTGTAGTTACAATCTGTCCTACTGCTATTTCGTATTACTTTCCTTATACGTACGTATAGGAAAAGTTATGTGATGCCGTGGAAAATCGATTTCGAGATTTCAACGGAAATACACGTATTGGGGGCCCCTAATACCGAAAAAGTTGCTCAAAAACGGCTCCAATTTTTTTCTTCAAATTTCTTGTAAGAAAAGAGTAAAATACATTTCTGAAGGTGGCATAGGTCCAAATTTCAAGTTTAACTCTAAATTTTCGAAAATTTCAAAATTGAAGATGGAGGTTTTTCCTTCATATAACATTTGTTCTCTATTATAAGTTTTTTCATTAAGCTCACGTAAATTTTTTGAAAATTTTAGTAGTTTTCGAGCAATATTGCGTGCAATATTTGCAATTAAAAAAATACAAAAACCTTTTCAACATTTTCCCAAAAACGACTCCAAATTGTTTCTTTAAACTTTTGGTAGGTAGTACTAAATGAATTCTATAACATTACATAAACGTCATATTGCTCTATTTTTTTCTTCAAAAGTTACAAAATTGTAATTTTTTCTCGTTTCTCGAAAACTCGAGTTTTCTGTGAAAATGAGCTGAAATTTCCGCATTTTCAGAAACTCTCAGACACCATTTTTTCACAAAATGGCTCCAAATTATTTCTTCAAACTTTTCCAACAGATAGTACTTATTACACTCGTTAAAATGACATTAATTAATTTTGCTATATTCTTGTATTTTTCAAACATTACGCAAATGGATTTTTTTAAAAATATCTCTCATGCCTTTAATATGCTCATATCCAGCGATTTGGAAACACTACCGCATTTGTGACAGGAAGTGCTTGAAATGACTTCATATGAAATTTTTGGAAAACTCAATAGTTTTCTGTGGAAAGAGGTTCTAATTTCGAAGTTACAGTAGCGCTTAAACGCCATTTTCTTAAAAACGGCTCCGAAGTTCTCAAAGGAAATTGCCATTTAGGACGAGATTTTACTGTTCATTAATATTCTTAAAATAAGATTTCTCTTCTACAATTGGGAAAGAGAAAAATTAAAAAAAAAAGTACTTTGGGTTGCGATAGATAGCAGCTGACAAGAGTATGTGGCAAGTCCGAATAGCTAGCCGAGTCCAAAGGAAATAGGAAACTAATATGGGAAAATCTGCGCCATTCTACAGTACTACTATGTGGTTTGCTACTAACGTAAATCACGTATTAACTAGACTGAATCTATCAGAATGCTTCGGGGTAGACATTTTAAACCAAATGAGCCCATCATTTGCATCATACGTCGAGATTTTCAGGACCGCTTCACCAACCTAGACGTGTTAGCAGTTAAACTGCAATCGGTGCCTGTCGCAATACAATCTATGGTCCAATTATCATTACAAAATTAGTAGTATATGCTACAAGTTAAGATAATTAAGTATTGCGAATTAAAAATTATACTATGTTGTTGTTTTTCATGTTAAATAGTTCTTGGAGTTTATTGTCAAAGTATATTTTTGAATTCATTAATAGATACGACATAATTTGGTCTTTTTACCTTCTTGCTAATTAATTACGTAGTAAGAAAGTATTGTCATGCTGCAAAACGACGATTTTTCGTCAGAAAAACTCGTATTATGGGGCCATGTTAACGATGGAGTCGATAAATCTAGTTCTTACATGTAGTAAATTTCATCTATCACGTTGTGTAGTCAGAATTCACGTTTTGTGGGTCTTTAGAAACGAAAAATTGATTGACAGCAAAACGTCTACCTGTCTTTTCGTCCGTCTTTGTGTGATCAACGCTAGTGCCTGAACAGTTCCTGATGATTTATTCCAAAATTGATATTGCCTCATCAACCTGGACAAATGCGAAACACTGCGAGTATGAAATAAATATTTTGATTTTGGTGAGTACTTTACATGGAATCTCAACTTGTAAAAAAATTCTCAAAAATGCCTCCGCAGTTTTTGATGAAACTGTCCTTGGATAGCGGAACGCTATCTTATAGGAATAGCGCATGTCTTATTTTCGTTGAATTATCTGAATTTTCGAAAATCACAAACGCTAAAAAAGGGGAAAAATTGGTTTATTTCTACAAGTTCAATGTAGAATTCAGAGATTTTTTTTCTAAATAAAATCTGTTCTACGAAGGAATCTTTAAACGAGGACATCCAGAATTTTTAGAAAATATGAGTAGTTTCCGCGCGAAATGTGGACAATTTTTAAACGATTTTTTTTCTCAAAATCGGTTACAAATTTTTATTTTTTTTCTCGAAGAGAGTACTCTTATAAAAATGGTATACCTCCCGTTGTCAGTAAACTCTCTATATTTTTCAAAATTTTAGAAAGTTGATATAGAAAAACTACAATATTGATTCCAGATATTTTCCGTCTAATGGAATCTGTTTTTCAAATTTGATCTTTAAACAAGGTCATGTACATTTTTTTGAAAAAATAACAACGAA